TTTGATTGGATTTAATTTTGATTAAAAAATATAAATTATGGTTTACTTTATAGTTTTCTCATATGAATTATTGATTATACATGTGGCAAATAAAATCAAAATCTAATTATTATTCTTGAAATTTTATTTACTTATTCACATGTATATATTTGAAATTATGAAATAATATTTACCTTTAACAAAGGCATTATTATATGTTATTATAATTATCATATGAGTTTTCTGATGGTTCAATAATTATTATGGTTGTTATTTATTATTAAACTGCTTAGCATTAATATTTAATAATAATTATTATTATTTATTATTAAACTATTTAGCATTAATGTTCAATAATAATAATAATAATTTATTATTAAACTGCTTAGTATTAATATTTAATAATTATTATGGTTATTTTATTATTGAACTGCTTAGCAAAAATTAAAAAAAATTGATGAATATTATTTGTAATTCATTTTCCTATGTTTTATCTGACTAGTAGTTGCCAAAGTGGCATGAGATGATAGACTTTTGTGATATGAATTACAATAAAAGTTTTACCATTTATAGAACATTTAAAAATTTTATTTTATATTATTGCATTAGTCTTTTAGCCACCAAAGTATCTAGACTAATGACTTATAAAATAATATTAAATAATTAGTCTTAAATGATATTAAGGAAATAATATTTATAATTACATATATAATTAGGAGATTTAGATAATCCTGAAGGAGAATCTAATTCAAATAATTATGTGCTACTATTTTGGATATTTTTGCAGTTTAGGGTTGTATACCCAAAGGTAATAATACTATTCTACAAGGATGGTATCAGTCCTCCATAAATATTCTTGAGTGAACACTAAATATGTCAATATTTTACCCAAATGTGTAATATAGATAATATTAATAGTTCATTAATTTTTGACAAACTCAAAGCATTAATGTTATCATATATTTTTGCAGTGGTACTTTCGCATATACATTCTTATGCTTCTAGTGTCTCTGTACTCTCTGGATCAAATTATTCAAAATGGTTAGAGCATGTGCAATTCATACTGGGTGTATTAGATCTTGATTTAGCATTACTTATTGAAAAACTTGCAGACTTGACTTATGAAAATACTGTAGAACAAGTTAATGAAATGAATGCTTGGAAAAGATCTGATAGGCTTAGTTTAATATTCATAAGAATGACAATTGCAAATAACATAAAGACTTCATTACCAATTGCAACTAGCACAAAAGAATATTTAAAAATTATTGAAGGTAAATTTAAATCTGTTGATAAGTGGCATATTAATGAAAGAACTGACTATGACTCAGTATGATGGTACTCGAGGAATTCAGGATCACATCCTCAATATGGCTGACAAATCTACAAAACTTAAAACATTAGGCATAAATATTGATGAGTCTTTCCTCGTGCAGTTTATTCTCAATTCTTTTCCTTTTTAGTTTGGCCCATTCAAGATTCACTATAATACAAATAAGGATAAGTGGAACTTGAATGAGTTGACTAACATATGTGTCAGGAAGAATTAAGATTACGACAGGAAAGTTCATATAATGTCATGACTACTACTCAAGGAGCTGATAATAAGAAAAGAAAATTGAGGTATTATCAATCAAAGAAACTTGTCTGGTCTAAAAATGTTAAACAGACTAATGAAAAGAAAGCATTTACTGTAAAGTGCTTCTTTTGTAGTAAGAAAGGACACGTGAAGAAGAACTGCATTAAACACAAGACTTGGTTCGAAAAGAAAGGTATTAACTCGACCTTCGTATGTTTCGAATCAAATATTACAGAAGTTCCTTCTAACACTTAATGGATTGATTCTAGTGCTTCAACTCATGTTACAAATAACATACAGGGATTTCTTTCTATTCGGAAACCAAAAGAATATAAAATATTCATCATTATGGGAAATCGTCTTAAAGCGAAAGTGATATCAATGGGAACTTATCGTCTACGTTTAAAGATGGGTCACTTGATAGATTTTGTTAACACATGTTATGTCCCTACAATTTCTAGAAATTTGGTTTCTCTTTCTAGAATTGATGGGTTAGGATATTGTCTTTCTTTTGATAGTGGCAAACTCAGCATATTTTATAATTCAATAAAAGTTGGTTCTGGAATTCTGTGTGATGGTTTGTACAGAATTAATTTAGATCTTGAGTTTGCAAAGACATTAATGACCCTACAATCAAGTGTTGGATTGAAACATAGTTTCAATAATGAAATATCTTCTATATTGTGGCATAGACGATTGAGGCATATTTCCTAGGAAAGAATTGAAAGATTAATGAAGGATAATATTTTGGAACATTTAGACTTTATTGATTTTGATATTTGTATGTATTGCATTAAGAGAAAGCAAACTAAGAAAATGCTACAAGAAGTAAAGAACTCATTGAGATTATTCATACTGATATCTGTGGACCACTCCATATTCCTTGTTTTAGTGGAGAAAAGTATTTTATCACATTTATAGATGATCTGTCCAAATATGGCTATGTTTATCTAATACATGAAAAGTTTTAAGCCGTTGATACATAAATGAGGTTGAGAGACAATTAGATAGAAAAGTTAAAATTATCAGATTTGACAGAGGTGGTGAATTTTATGGCAGATATGATGTATCTGGTCAGAATATTGGTCCGTTTGCTAGATTCCTATAACAACGGGGTATTTTGTGCTCAATATGCATTACCAGGTGTGTCACAGTAAAACGATGTTGCTGAAAGGCAAAATCACTAATGAACATGGTTAGGAGCATGATGAGTTATTCCTCTATACCTGAGTCGATGTGGGGTGAAGCTCTTAGGACAGCTATATACATCTTGAATAAGGTTCCTAATAAGTCAGCTATGTACATCTTGAATGGGGTATTTGTGCTCAATATGCATTACCAGATGTGTCACAGTAGAATGATGTTACTGAAAGGCGAAATTGTACTCTGATGGATATGGTTAGGAGCATGATGAGTTATTCCTCTTTACTTGAGTCGATGTGGGGTGAAGTTCTCAAGACAGCTATATACATCTTGAACAGGATTCCTAGTAAGTCAGTTTCATCGACTCCATTTGAGTTATGGACTGATAGGAAGCCTAGTCTAAGATATTTATATATTTGGGGGTGTCCTATAGAGATAAGAGTATTCAATCCATATGAAAAAAATTGGATCTAAGATATTTCTCGACAAGAACTTTAAAATAGTTGATATGAATGAGACAACCTATGTTATTGGCATTAAGATATTTATGAATATATCTCAAGAGTTATTAGGATTGTCTCGGAAAGGATATATTCATCATATCTTGGAGAGATTTAATATGCAGTTTTGCTCAGTCAATGATGTACCTATTACTAGAGGTGAAAAATTCAGTCAAAACTAGCCCAAGAAATGACTTAGAAAAGAATCAAATGAAGAATATTCTTTATGAGTGCGCAGTTGGAAGTCTATTATATGCTCAAACCTTTACAAGACCATATATCAGTTTTGTAATTGCAACGCTGGGAAGATACCAAAGCAACCCAGGAATGGAACATTGGAAAGTTGTAAAGAAAATAATGAGATATCTATAAGGGACGAAAGATTATATGCTCACATACAAGAGATCAGATCAGCTTGATGTGATAGGGTATTCAGATGCTGATTTTACAAATTACCACGGTAGTAGGAAGTCCACTTCAGGATTTGCATTTATGTTAGCTGGTGGGGCAATTTCTTGGAAAAGTACAAAGCAATAGCTTATTGCATTATCAACAATGGAAGCTGAATTTGTGGCATGCTTTGAGGCCATAAATCAAGCTTTATGGCTACGAAATTTTATCTTAGGACTTGGTGTGGTCGACTTAATTACTAGGCCGCTAAAGATATTTTGTGATAACACCTGGTTTTCTTCGCTAAGAATGACAAATACTCTAATGGTTCTAAGCATATTGAGATAAAGTACTTGGTGATTAAAGAAAAAGTCCAAAAATAACAAGTATCAATTGAGAACTTAAGTACCACTATGATGATTGCTGATCCATTGATCAAAGCCTTACAATGTAAAATATTCAAAAAACATTTCTTAGAATGAGATTTGTGAGCAAGTCATAAAGGATATGGTGATGAATGTTTATGTGGATGCTATTATTGAAATTCTTCTTGCTTATTAAAGTTATCTATTTCTATTATCCTATTTATATTTAAGTTTATGTACGATTGAATGTAATAACAGGATTGTCTTGACAAGATAAATTACATGGATCATTATGGACTATAAAAACTATTACAGGATTGTCCTGCACTTGAGGAAATCTCTTAAGATAAATTACATGGATCATTATGGACTATAAAAACTATTACAGGATTGTCCTGCATTTGAGGAAATCTCTTAAGATCTACTCCAGATTGCAGTGATTTTGGATTAAAGACGATGATTAGCAGATCAAACAAGTATATTTGAATAGATGTCATCAAAAGGTACGTTATAATTAAATCTATACATTTGATTCTAATCCTAACATAATAATAATAGTTATTTTCGTATTTTTAATATAATATAATTACATATTTTTATGCTTACATGCTGAACATGCTTCGGCACTTCCATTTCAGCCCATTCTGAACACGAGAGGGAATGCTCGTCTGCCACTCAACATTTCAGCCCATTCCAAATGCCCAACTCAAGCAAGACCCATGGCCACCAGCCATGTCGGATGCTTCGGGTCGTCGCAAGAGCCGGCGAAGCAACTGCCGGCAGCGGTTACTCGACTTGGACGAGAACGACGGCGGCGGAAGGCGGATTGAGGAGATCAAACACCTTGAGTGATCAAGATGCTCGAGGAAGAAGGTGACACACCTTGATTAGTTACTGGATTCGGATCGGTTCTAAATGGATCCGACCCGGAAACAGTTATCTTATCTATCTCCTCGGCTCCTCGCCGGAATCCCCCGATTTGGCCTGGGGAAATGAAGCTGGGTTTGGCGGCCCTCCGCATCTCCGCGGCGCCGCCCCCGACCTCCGCGAGGGAGGGCGGCTCCCCCCTCCTTCTCCTCCTTCCTTCTTCACGCATCTTTCACTGCGAGTCGTCTTCCCTCTCTCCTTTCTCTTCGCGAAGCCCATTTCGCCCCCCAGTTGCAAGATTGGCAGCGTCTCTCGAGAACAGTCAAAGGAATAGCATCCATTGTGGAAGTAACGAGGATGAGGAGGAGGGAGAGCCTTATTTGACTTCCAGTAATCCTTCGGCTCCGTTGCTCTCGCTGAGCGAGAAACCGGATAGGAGCCTCGCGTTGCTCGATGAATACGAGCTCGAGGAGCTCGACCCCGACCGCTCCACTTGCCGTAATCACCGAAGCGGTCAGTTCCTCTCCTTGCGCTCTTCTTTCCCGATTTCTTTTCGGTTGTATGCGGCCTTCTAGTCATGAAATTGATGCCTTTAACTATCTTGGAGCCGCAAAATTGAATCTTCATTGGTCCTGATATCGGAAATTTCTTCTTCTGGATATGTTCACATGATAATGTGGCACAATTTGGCCCTAGTTCCGTAGATGGAAACAATAGAAAAGGGTTTGGCGGGTGATGACGGGAGCGGATCATTCATTTCCACATGTATTCTGGGTTTGCTTTCCGATTGAGTGATACATCTGGGTAATACCAGATGAAAGAACTAAGTTGAACGATTGTTCTGTCGAGGTGACATTGAAAGAATACAAAGGGAGATCATTATGTACGGTAGAAGAATTTGTACCTTGGCAAACCCTGTCTTTCCCTGCACAAAGTATCGCCACTCTGCATAAAAGTGTAGGTCATTCTGAAGTGTACTGATTCCCATATTGCACGTATGGTTTTCTTAAACTTTTGCATTCCACAACATTTTTTTCAGAATTTGGTGAGTGCATGCTAGTGTTGGCTACCTTAGCATGTTATCAGACCAGAATTTTCTATTATTTGAAATTGCAGAATGGAACTTGGAGTCACATTTCGAAAGCAAGTAGTGGAACTGAAGGGTGATAAGGATTATGCAGTTTGGGTTTCGTTGTGAATTAATGATCTAAAGTGGCTAAGTCTGAAGTTCTATCAACTTGCCCTTTTGGGGTTGGAACATGTCCCGAGTAAAAAGAGAAAGGATGAGTAGTGCATAATTTAGAGATATGGTGACTGAATTCAGGATGATTGTTCTGTTGGTGCATTCAGGGTGCATTAGTACTACTAAGAACTTTGAAATTCCTGTGTTTTGTTACATGTCATGTGGCTTTGTGATAGAAATTGATGTATGAATTTGTAACTGCAGGTTATGTAGCTGTGCTAGGCAGGCCCAATGTTGGGAAGAGTACACTCTCAAACCAGATGATAGGCCAAAAACTTTCGATTGTAACAGAGAAACCTCAAACCACACGCCATCGAATTCTTGGTATATGCTCTGGTCCTGAATACCAGGTACTATACTTTCATTGATCGACCAATTATAATTTTGTACTTGTTAAGATCAAAAATAGATGTTTGAAGCAATTAACACATGAAGTTCTGATGAGCTTATTTTGGTTTCTAATCTCATTAATGTGTTAGTTTGCAGATGATACTTTATGATACACCTGGTGTAATTGAAAAGAAGATGCATATGTTGGACTCTATGATGATGAAAAATGTCAGGAGTGCAGCTATTAATGCAGACTGTGTTCTTGTAGTTGTTGATGCTTGTAAAGTACCTCACAAGGTAACTTCTATGTGAATATTTTTTTAATCTAAAAATCAACATCAAACTTTTTTGACTTGTACATTTTCTGGAATCTCAGATCGATGATGTGCTAGAAGAAGGTATTGGAAGTCTCAGGGATAACCTTCCTATTCTATTGGTATTGAACAAGAAGGATTTAATTAAACCTGGAGAAATTGCAAAGAGACTTGAGGTTGCACTTCTATACTCATTCCTTTAGTTGATAGCCGTGATTTACTTTTCTCATGTTTTAAACAATTTGTATATTCTTTACATGTTTTGTCATAATAGTTAACTTGAGAATGGTCCATTTTGCAGTGGTACCAGAAGTTTACCAATGTTGATGATGTCATACCTGTAAGTGCCAAATTTGGTCAGGGAGTGGATGATGTCAAAGACTGGATACTTTCAAAACTCCCCTTTGGTCCTGCTTATTATCCCAAGGTTGTTGCATCCTTGACTTTTCTCATTTGTTTCCTACATTTATACTCTTACTGCACTGCTTGAATATCTTAGTTACCTTAGTTTGATTAATTATTAATTTAGTCATCATATGACATGAAAACTTCTATTCAGAAGAAGACCCATCTCTCATCTTTTCGGTTTCAGGATATAGCTAGCGAACATCCTGAGAGATTCTTTGTTGCAGAAATTGTTAGGGAGAAAATCTTCACCCAATACAGAAATGAAGTTCCATATGCATGCCAGGTTTTTTTATTCCATGATTCTAAGATGATTGATCACAAACAAGCTTTCCTATTCTATGGTTTAACAAAGTAATTGTTAATTCTATTTCACACATTATAGGTCAATGTTTTGAACTACATCAGCAGGCCTACATCCAAAGACTTCATTCAAGTTGAAATTGTGGTCGAGAAGGAATCACAAAAGATCATTCTCATTGGCAAGGTATCTCACGAAACCTTGTTGATGTAAATAGTGAATCTTCTTCGTTTACTTTGCAAAGGCATTTCACTTTTTGTTCTTCCAGTTATGCTTTGACAACTTTCCGTGCATGGCCATTGGAATGTTTTTGGCATTCTTATGTCAATTCATGTTTTAGGCTTCCTGTTGCTATTGGAAAAATGATATGAGTCTAACTTCGATTACATTGTTATAAAACAAAATTGAAAGCAGAGTTGAAAGAAATGAAATTCAGATGTGTGTAAACGTCAACCTTAGTATATTTATTCATCCCATGCAGGCATTGGTCAGTAAATTTCCCAACATACAATCAAGATTTGTTGTTCTATGAGCATGATCATGAAGAATGATAAAGACGTTCCAACACCAACAAAATCAAATGAAAAATTGAAAGAAAATAGATAGTAAAATGGACTATAAGAGAAGAAAGAAAAAGATAGCATTCCAACTCTTGATTGGGCCCTCCACCAAATCAAGGGATGCCACATCACCCCAGGAATCATTCCCTGGGATGTGTTCCTGGATCGCAGGATGCAACGGTGAAATCTGTGGCACTAAATTGGGTCAAAAGGTAAAATCATTAAAAGAAAGTTTAGGTTAAAATTCAATCTGATCCAAATCATGCATGTTTGGATAGTTAGATCCAACCATCCTTTCTACTAAAGTACTTAGTGGATTTTAAGAGGGATGTCCTTACTTTCAATGTGGGATTAACTGGAACTAAATGTCCTAACAAGAATCGAGGAAAAGAGTAAATTTGAGTTTTTTTCCCTTACAAGACCAACAATCCCCACAAAAAACTCAATTTTTTAAAATCCTTAAGTAAGTAAATAAATAAATAAATGTTGTTGGTTATTTATTTATTTATTTAGTTATATAAGAATTTGAAAATTTTGAGTTTTTGTGTAGAGATTGTTGGAACAATAAGAAAAAACTCGAATTTCTTGTTCTTCCGCCTCTTCGAGGACTTTAGTCCACCGTGTCACCGAAGAGTTTTCATCAAGTTAACCTATGTGGATGAATACAGGCTTAACAAATTCACTCTACTTTTTTTTTTCTTTTTTTTTTTAATTTTGTTCTTGGATTAGGTATTAACATCTTGCATGAGATTTTGTATGCAATGAGAACAGCAATTGTCGGATCACATGCATTGGATCATGCAACAAAATCGGGAATCCAATGCAAGATGTCATACCTAGTCCAAGGATAAATTGGTAAAAGAAAATAAAATAAAGTTAATTTGGTTAAGCCGGCATCCATCGACATTTGACTCAATCCAACCCACATGCAAGGGATGGATGTAGATCCAATTAACCCTTCTATTTAGGCTCCTGGTTGGCTAAAAGGAGGGATGGATCATGGATGAGGAGAGGGAGTGAATTCTCCCCTGGTGGTGTGGGACTAAGCTCTTACGGAAGGAGGGAAAATTTTGAGGTTTTCCTCTGCCAGTTCCAACAAGTGGAAATTTTGGGGTTTTCCTTTATGTTCTAACAGTCACATCTTCATAGGATGCAAGTGTTGTTTCAAATGATTTTCCAACTCAAAATGTAAAATGCTTATTCTTTCTTATCAAGGGACATTTGTTAATAGACTTACGCATGAAAATTGTTGGTAATCATCAGGGCATGAATGAATGTAGAACTCCTACTAGTTAGGCCACTAATTGCAAGTATCTCTATCCTGGGTCAATCGAGCCAATACAATGACAATCTTCACTCTTTTTTAATCTTCTGCTGACATCATGCTGCAACTCGCCTGCATGAAGCCAAAATCACTAATAATCGTATACGACAATGGAATAGCTCCCAGGCCTTCTACACATCAACCGTCACACTATGGAAGTTGGCCATGTCCAAAATTGTCATCTTTAACGGCAAGGAGGGGATGCCAAAGGGAGGGCTAGTGACCGATGTGAAGGTAGTCATACTGGTAGGTGCGGTTGAGTCACTGCCTTTTCAAGGAGAGCTCCTGCTTATGCTTGTTGGATATTTTAATTTGGCACTGCATTACACCCAGAAGGAAGCAAGCTACGTATGAGCTAAGCTTGGATATCGAAGTCTTCTTTCATTTTTTTGATCGGGAAGACTTCCAAACATGTCATGAGCTAAACACTTATTGACAAATAACCAATGTACCGACTAAAACTGAATGTTTTTTCTGAACTTCCACAGATGCATGATCTTAACTTTCTGGCAATTATTCATGCTAATTTTGCTTTTTCACCACCGAACAACTTGACTCACAAGGGAGAAGTGTTAATGAAACTCAAGAACACAAATTATGGGAAAAGCTTAAGCTTCCGAAATATTTATCTTTGAAGATTGTATAGTTCACATACACCCTAGAAGTTGTTGCTTATAGTTATTTGTTTCTCATACCTATATTAACAAGGTATTCTACGATATTTTCAGATCATTTCATATCGAAATCTTATACATACTTCTCCATTCAAATGCAGGGTGGGAAGGCGCTGAAGGTGCTAGCAACAGCTGCAAGGCTCGACATCGAAGACTTTCTGCAAAAGAAAGTCTTTCTTGAGGTCCTGTGCAGAGCCATATGTTCTGCCTTCTGAACTCTTTCTAGCATTTTATGCTGACATCCTTCTCTCACTGTTGTGTCATGGATTGGGCAGGTGGAAGTGAAGGTGAAAGAAAACTGGCGACAGGATGAAGGTCTTCTCAGATTCTATGGCTACGGTGGTCAGATACGAGCCTTGTAGAAGTGTCAACTGTAACTCATCTGTTATGTCTAATCTTTGCGTGGAACATATTATTTGCAACAAAATGGCTCATATCACATATCAAATAATTTTATTCCATTTAGTTATACTGGCCTCATATTGTTCATATTTACATCAATCATCAGATAATTATGTTAAGTCAAAAAAAAAAAAAGTGAATGCATGAGCTCTGGAGATCAGCACACAAAAAAATTGAAGAGATCCGATGGCCGATCCTCTCTTAGACTAAATATTTTTTTTATGGTATATCTCTTATAATGTAAAATGATATAATCCATATATGTCATTACATTTAACATTCTCTCCACAAAGATCCATCTTTAACTGAATTTTACACCTGCGTTTAACCCCCCCTCCCATCACCTCTGCTCTGCCGCGTAACTCCGCCGCACCGATGTGCATGTGGAAGCCGCACTGCTTCGCCTGACCAAAGAAGTTCATCACGCATTCCCATGTCATCTCGTCACATCGCCCATTCCCATTTCCTTCCTTCCCATCGAAAGCCGCAGATGCTGGCACGAGCAACGAGCCTCTCTACCTCCTACGAACTCGCACCACAAACCCTAACCAGAAGAGGTCATACGACTCTCTGAACGCCCACCCAAAGCTTATCTCCAATCTGCACAGATGTTGAACGAAGAACATGCCCTGCATTTGTTCGCGTCCACCGTTCTTCCTCGAAGAAGAAGAAGATGATGACGATGATGGTGGTGGTGGTCTACATCTGGTTTCCCATCAGTCCCTGTGCTTACCCATCACCCTTCGCCAATGTCGTATCTTGTTCTTCGCCCAATGTGATAAGTTGACAGAACCCGGGGTTCGACGTAGAGAGACGGACGGATAAAAAGATGGATAGATTCGAGCACGCGACGCGACTCTGCATGGGGGAGCGGTGGACACATCACGTGCAATGGCGGTAGCCCTGCCACCGATCCTAATTGCGTTGGCGCCAATCTCAAAGCAGCTTTGCACCCTTTTCCTCAAGTGATGGGTGTCTGATTCAGACTCTTCCTGAGCTTCTCCTCTAGCTAAACCAATCTCCCGAGCGAGCTTGTCTTGGTGTCTGTCAAGTAACGTTCCCAGTGATCCAACTAAGGTCCTACTTGGGCATGGGATTGCATCGAGCTGACCCAGTAAACCTCGAAACATAACCACCATCCCAAGCCACAGCAAAAATCGCGGTGATCCAACCACTTGCCAGAAACATATGATCTCTGCTGAATACAGAACATTCTTAACTGTGCAAATTACCATAGCGGTCGAGTGATAGGTCACATGCAGAGCCTGACAACCTCGAACATCTACAATGGAGGATGCCTGATCCTTGGTAGTGCTCAGGTTATCCCTTAGGTTCTCTGCACCAGACACCGAGGACAGAGAGGAAGAAGGCAGCAGCTGCTGCTATTTATACCCTCCCACCGAGGCCTCCTCTTCCTGCATCGCCATCTACGGGAGAGGAAGAAGCCGCAGGAGGAGGATGAAGCTTTTAGTTGTCGTTTTGGTCCTGCTGTTTTGCCCACATCATGGTGTTGAGGCTGCAGGAGGAGAGTTCATTGGGATAAGTGGGCTGCACTTTGTTCTCAATGGCAATCCATTCTTTGCCAATGGCTTCAATGCCTACTGGTTGATGACCCTGGCCTCAGATCCTTCTCAGAGAGACAAGGTCTCCTCTGCACTGAGTGACGCCTCCAGCCATGAACTCTCTGTGGCCAGGACATGGGCTTTCAGTGATGGAGGGAGCAATGCGTTGCAGTACTCCCCAGGCTCCTACAATGAACAGACCTTTCAGGTCTCCCCTTGTCTCTGTGCATCCTTGAAAGATCTGTTTTGTTATCTTACGCCATCGCTTTCTCTTGGTCAAGGGGTTGGATTTTGTGGTGTCCGAGGCCGGCAAGTATGGGATCAGGCTCATACTGAGCTTGGTCAACAGCTATGACAACTATGGAGGCAGGAAGCAGTATGTCCAATGGGCAAGGGATCAGGGGCACGAAATTGGATCTGAAGATGAGTTCTTCACCGACCCTGTTGTCAAAGGTTACTTCAAAGATCATGTCAAGGTAATACGAATGATTAATCCATTCGTGTGAGCATGGCGAGCTAACAACTGTTGCTTCTTCCATTTCTGTAGACTGTGCTCACAAGAGTCAACAACATAACTGGAGTTGCCTACAAGGATGATCCAACAGTCTTTGCATGGGAACTCATGAATGAGCCCAGATGCCCCTCGGATCTGTCGGGGAAGAGCATACAGGTTAATTGGCACAAACTGCAACCTCGTGGGGCTTCTTCTTTGTCACCAGCATAAAAGGAGCTCTTCCTTCCTTTGATTGTTATCCAGGATTGGATCACGGAGATGGCTGCCTACTTGAAATCCATAGACAGCAACCATTTGCTGGAAGCCGGTTTAGAGGGGTTCTACGGCGAATCATCTCCTCAGAAGCAAGCCAATCCAGGCTTCCAAGTGGGAACTGATTTCATCACCAACAACCAGATTCCTGGAATCGATTTCGCCACCCTTCATTCCTACCCCGATCAATGGTACGGTGTCCTCATCAGATGCGACGCGGTTCATCCGTTTTTTATGCCCTGATCCGGCTTTGAATCCATGAACAGGTTACCCAACTCGGACGATCAATCGCAGCTCGCGTTCCTCAACAACTGGCTCGACGTCCACATCGAGGACGCGCGCGATGTGCTGCGGAAGCCATTGCTGGTGACGGAGTTCGGGAAGTCATCCAAGGATCCCGGCTTCAGCAGCGAGCAGAGGGACGCCATGTTCGGAGCTGTGTACTCCAAGATCTACTCGTCGGCCAGCAGCGGCGGTGCCACCGCAGGTAGCTGCTTCTGGCAGCTGATGGCCCAAGGCATGGATTCGTACAGAGACGGGTATGAAGTGGTTCTCAGCGAAGCACCATCGACGACCAGAATCATCACCGTCCAGTCTCGGCAGCTTCGCTACCTGGGGAGGTTGCGTGCCGGAGAGCGAAACATTGCCAAGCTCAAGAAGGCAAAGGCCATGAGAGAGAAACAACTGAAGGCTCCCCACAAGGGAAAGGGTGCAGGAAACTGAGCATGCAGTAGGATTCCATATACCTCAACAGGTGAGATCGTGACTCTCCTTGTGATGGATGATCTTTGTCATCCAGGAGAATTGGAAGATACGACGATGTTCTATCTCCATCATGCATGCCTTCTAGTAAACGTTGTATCCATCTGCCTAAGATACAAGTGCAAATCTCATGATCTGACAAGTTAATTCTTAATGAGATGAAGCAATTATGAAGGGCAGATTCATATTAATACTACAAAGCAAAGGTCTATTTACAGAACAGAGCAGGATGCTGATGAAGTTATTATTGGGCACATACAAAGCTATCAAATCAAATAGAAACTCGTAATTCACAGACAAGGATGAAGCTGCACTACTGCAGCTTATTCTTTGTAAGGCATGCATCTTCTTCTTCTTCTTCCTTGCTGAATCCTTCGAATCATATTACTGTTCCATCTTTGATGGTAGCATTCTTCAGAATCACCACGATCCCCGATCGTACATAGAAGCCCTCACTTGCCCTATCAGCTTCTTGGACTCCCTGTTACGATGGTGAATCTTATGCTGGTTAGCATCGACAGAATCTTTCAGGAGACGAGGTCAAGTAAGAGTGCTTACATCCTTGTTTGCTATGACCACATTCTTTCCTATTCTCGCGTTCATGTCGATGACACAATTCCTGGAGATCAGCAAACGAGAGTCTCAGCATTTTCCAGTGTTCGTCGTAAAAATGTTTCAAAGGTCTCACCTGATCTTGGTTTTTTGTCCTACACCAATTGGGACCTTGTCATCGGCCAGATGAGAAGAAATTTCCGCTTCGGTTTCATAGATATCAGCACCCATCATCATCGTATCCTGTGGTGCCGATGTGAAATAAATACATGTCTATGATCATATCAAGCAGAAATTGTGATGAAACAAGCTTTCCTTTCAATTGAAGCAGTAATCTTGATGTACATTACAACATTTGAATCACATTATCCGTATCAAGAACATTTTAGCTAATCCATACGAAGGTATTTCAACAAGTTCGGTAAAGCGAAAGCAAACCTTGAGCTCGACACCAAAATCTAGACGTGAACGCACTCCAACTATAGAACGCTCCACGCTACATTCACGCAGGAAGCACCCATGTGAGATGATTGCATCCATAACCTGTGCATATGACTTCTTGGTTAAACATGCCATAAGATGCAGTAAAATGGTCGTTTGTGACAGCATACCCTGCACTTTTCGATCTTTGTTGGGGGTAGAAATCGCGGTGATGTAAAGAAGGGTGTCATTGGATCATAAAACTGAAATTTCGGAGGCTGCAACAAAAGAATGGTAATATCGTTTCATCAGTGCTTGTTAAGCTAAAACTCAAGTCGTGCTGAGGTAAATGCAGATGTATTCATTGGTTCGGTATTAAGACAGGATGATGTGAAGAGTAAACAAACAACATTTAGTAAGGATTATCTGCATGGTTAGTGTCAACCTGTTCTGTCAGTGCCAAATTTGCATCAAAGAACGATCTAATTGTTCCAATGTCTTCCCAGTAATCACTGAATGCATATGCCTGCCGAGTTGTCAACATTCCTTAGGCCCAACTTAAGCAAATTACATCTTACAGATCCGAGAGATCAAGTAAAAACATTCTCTGTTACCTGAACATTATGCTCTTCTACAGCAGAAGGAAGGATTTCTGATCCAAAGTCATTACATTTCGGATAATTCCACCTAGAAGAAAAGACAGAATAAGATATGGACAATATAATGGCAGAATAACATTAGAAATAGACACCTAACCTTAGAAGCTTTAAAAGAACATCTCGTTTGAATACATAGACTCCCATTGATGCAATATATGGATATTTCATAGCATCTTGATGTGACAGTCTGAGAAATGTTCCATTATCATTCTGCGGTTCAACATTTTTTTTATTACTTACTGATATGTTTTATTTGATGCCACATACATTCTCATCAATTTGATTCAAAAAAGGGAAAAAGAAAAAGAAAAGTGGCCTAATTTACCATAGCTTCCAAGTCTGCACCCTTGGGTTTCTCAAAAAACTGGATAATGCGACCTGCCTCGTCAATCTTCACCAATCCGTAATCAGATGCTCGGCTTATAGACAATAATTTACTAGATCAGTATTAAGCAAATATAGCAATTCAACATAAACAAATAATAGTGTATAAAAGTATGCAGCCACCTATTGATCTTTGATTCGGGCAAGTCAGGTTTGCGACGTACCAAGCAATACTATTATGAGAAAAATTAGAGATTTGACCACAAATTAAGCTTTGTATCATTCTGTTTAATAGAGGAAAAAATTGGAAACATTACGGAAATGTTGAACGATGTGCTTATTGAAAAATATGGCAGGAATCAAAGACTTGTATTTTCATATGCCACAAAACTAACATAATTCGCATAACAAATAGATCAAAAATCTTTTTGTGCCTCATTGTGATGAGTGAAACGAGTATGCTGCATAAGCTTTGGAAAGATCAAAAATCAAATTTAGTGTCAAAAAACAGAGAGGCAATATGGAATGCACATAACAAATTGATCAAAGATGTTTCGGTGCCTCATGGTGATGATTCAAGCTTGTAAACTGTGCCAGCCTTACAAACCAAGAATAAAACTCAATAGAGGTGAAAACATAATCAGATGGCTCATAAAACCCATGACAACAGTTGCAAAGTTGATTGTTGCATTTCGATGTGATCAAGAACCACATCTGTGAACTGGTAACCCATCTGCGTATGGTATCAAGTAATTTATCGAATATAATGAAGACAAGAACAATAGATAGGGCAGTAACACAGATGATGAACAAACGATTAGCTAGAGAGGGCTTCTTGGTTTAATCTCTATTAAAATAATCCAGTAATTTAAACCATGTGTGACCTTAGGCCCATAGACCAAGTTGTATGCCATGAGGAACACAGAAAAGGACACTAGACATGGTAAGTTAACATGTCAAATATTAAATCAGCAAATGGATACTTCTAGCCATTCTACATGACAAGAGTAATAGTTGGATGACTATGATCCTTCTCAATACAAAACTACTAGACGAAGGAGAGAAAAGCAAAATCATCATAAGGGACAGTTGATAAGGTTAAATCATTTACCTGTGACCCACAGGCACACATGATACTGTTATGTCAGCACCGGTATCAACATGTTTCTGCATATTCCATAGTACATGATCATTTAGGTAATTAGTCTCCTTGAGCAAAGTAAAAAAGAATTCTTTGTGTGAATTCAGACATGCCTGCACGAGGTCCATATAGTCCATCCGGTAAAGCTGGTCACCAGATAAGATCAGTATGTGTTCGATGTTCTTGTTCTTATTATCCTGACAAAGGTGCAAGAACAGAGTTTAACATAATTGACAATTTTCATGCAACGCAAATGAATTCATGAAATGTGATATATAACTTTGTGCCCACCTCAAATACCCAAGTGAATTGCCTGACAGCATCTGCTGTACCCTGAAACCAGTTCATGCCGGCTTCTCCAGGTGTTTGTGTAGCTGCTAAAACCTGCTTATCAGCTTCTGATGAGTCCAACCATCATAAGAATTCGATAATTTCTGGCCAGTTTGGAAGCATTACCTCAACAAATCCATCACCAAAATTGATTCCATTTCCAAAGTTATATGTTCGAGAAATGTGGCGATTCAGTGAAGCCGAATTGAATTGTGTCATTATGAAGATCTTGTTTATCCCACTATTGATGCAGTTACTCATTGGAATGTCAATCAGCCTATAACATCCACCAATTGGAACCTACAGGTTGCAAAAAACATACATTCGATTCTTAAATTGATTCTGAAAAAAAATGAAACCCTGCAAATGATAATATCCTCAATCTGATGGCTTCATCGACTACTTGCTGAAAGATCGGCATATGATTTATTATAACATACGAGTGATCAATTAGAACAATCCAGAATCCCCTTCCTCAAAGGCATCAAAGAGGCACAGTTTTCTTGAATACTTGTACTCATACACCACAACCATTGTAAAAACAAATGCAAGTTGTCGTCTATGATTTTATAGACTATCATCAGCTTCCCTTTCTCATGAAGACAAAAATTGAGGAAACATTAAACTCATATCAAAGGGTGTGAATTCGACTTGAATATCAACTCAAGTCATAAAATAAGAATCCAATTTCTAATCAGAAAACATAGTCATGAGAACATAGAAACTAAATTCTTACTGCAGGAGTGGCTCTGGTACTAGTGAGAGGAACAAGCTGAGTGCCAGCCCCTCCCCCCAGTATTATGGAAGCAACACTCTTTGGATCTGCGGTTCGCCTACCAAACATTGGTGCATGAAAAACCTGAAGTCGTCACAGAATGTTAGCAATCCGATTTATAGAATAGAAGCAGAAGTGAGTTCATGGTGCAGAAGAAACGCATCAAATCATGTAGTTAGCTGACACAGTAATCAAACTCAAAGAAGATACGAGCAGATGCAGGTCACAGCATAATATATAAGTTCCTAGAGATGACTTGCGATTTTTGATCATAACAACAACCTTAGATGGTGAGAACAGCATTTGGGCACGGCGTAAAAATGTCTAGCAGTGATTCACTCACCATGGTCTCCTGGTCGACATCTGAAGTGAGAACAGAGAATGCAACTCCAGTCTTACGCCCTCCAAACGAGCTCCTAGTCTTCAAACTCTTTGCCACCTTGGAATCCCACACCTTTGTAGTTTTCGGACCATTTCCTATCCCGTCTCCCCAAATCCCACTCTCCCGGCAGCCAACACTTGCTCTCTTCACCTGGCTGAAGCACGCGTTTGCCATCGATCCCACACAGCAGACATCCATTGCAGGTACGCTCACAGCTTCCCTACCGAAACGACAGACAGAGACGGTAAGAACCTAGACGACAAGAACTAAAGCACACACTGTGTTCGTCCCAAGAAGCAGAGGAGGAGAGCCTCAAGAGAAATGCAGGGGCAAGTATGCAGCGAGCTGCTACTTGGAGACGGGAAGGGCGTGTGATCAGTCACGTAAAAATTGGATCCTGTGACTCTTTTTGTTTGTTTTAGGATCTGAAGTCGGCTTCTCTCTTCCCAATTCTCGAAGACAGAAATCCCCAAAAAAAGATATCGTCTCCTGAATCACGGGACTTCCAAAGCAAACCATCAAAAGCTACGTAGACTTCGTATAAGATCTACATTTATTCCTATAATGATGTCCATTGAATCTTGCTTGTTCTCAGCCGCAGATTTCACGCAGCACTCGAAGATCCCAAAAAGGCATGACATACGTATGGCGTTCCACGACTCCCTGTCGTAGATCTTCCTGCACGCATACGAAGGCTGAAGTATACGACGAACCATTTTATGAATTTTCCCGAAAGATATCGTGATCCGTAGATCGGACGGTTGTCGTTGCTCGTTGGACGAAGGGACGAGGTGGCACGCGCAACGAGGGGAGCGGAGGGGAGGGGTTCAGTGACATGGACACATCACCGGACGCACAGGTGTACGGCTCGTAGGGGCCCCCACGTGAGTCGACCCAGGATCCCTGCCCGCGGGGTCTGGAGCCGTACACGTGGTCGGAGGAGAGAGAGGATGTTTCGGGACACATGCTCTCTCATCTGTCGAATGTGCATGTACGTGACCTGTCGTATGTCACGCGGTAAGCTCTAATGGACGGAGCTTTAGATTTCTTTTTCTTAGCAACAACAGAAATAAATCGAAGAAAAAGATAACTCTCGTCGATCTATCTAAGTGGATAATAGTCGAAGATAATTCTAATAGTCTTTCTCTTATCGACTATGCGAAGAAAAAAATTTATCACAGACGATCGAAGATTTTTTTTTTATATAATACTTTATAAAATATTTTACTTTTTTATAATTAAATATAAAAATTATTTTAATATTATAATATGAAATTAAGTCAAAAAATCTCTCTCAATCTTGGACTTCATACACTTGTGTCATGTTGGGCCTTAACGGACGGCCCATAAGCCCACGTGAATGCCGTAACTAAAGATGAGCGCAGATTGAAGAACACCAAAGAACACCTTCCTCTTGTTATAGTTCATCATGATACGTCCTGTTGTTATAATTCATTGGTTTAATAGAATAATTATAGAAAAAACAATAGAGCTTTTTCTTCGTCTTAGGTCGATTGATATCCTCAATCTTTAGATAGAGAGAAGAAGATCATTAAGATTTCTTACTCCAACAAATACTAGTACACATTGCCCTCCTCTTACACAGCACAAGAGAAAGAGATGAGAAAGGCTCCATGCACACACTCAATGCGGTGCACCAGACTGACCACACGTAGCGCCTGCTCTCACTTGCCGGGCACGAAGTTGGTGGCGTAGGCCCAGGCGTTGTTGTTGACGGGGTCGGCCAGGTGGTCGGCCAGGTTCTCCAGCGGCCCCTTCCCGGTCACGATGGCCTGCACGAAGAACCCAAACATGGAGAACATGGCCAGCCTCCCGTTCTTGATCTCCTTCACCTTCAGCTCCGCGAACGCCTCCGGGTCGTCGGCGAGGCCGAGCGGGTCGAAGCTGCCGCCCGGGTACAGCGGGTCGGTCACCTCCCCCAACGGCCCCCCGGCGATGCGGTACCCCTCGACGGCGCCCATCAGGATCACCTGGCAGGCCCAGATGGCCAGGATGCTCTGCGCGTGGATCAAGCTCGGGTTGCCCAGGTAGTCCAGCCCCCCCTCGCTAAAGATCTGCGCCCCCGCCTTGAACCAGACGGCTTCCCCGAACTTGACCCCGTTGCGGGCCAGCAGCTCCGGGAAGACGCACCCCAGCGCGCCCAGCATGGCCCACCGGCAGTGGATCACCTCCAACTCCCGGTTCTTGGCGAAGGTCTCGGGATCGGCCGAGAGGCCAGCGGTGTCCCACCCGTAGTCGCCTGGGAACTCGCCGGTCAGGTAGGATGGGGGCTCGCCGGATAAGGGGCCCAAGTACTTGACGCGGTCGGGGCCGTACCATGGGCTGCCGGAGGAGGCAGCCGGCTTGCCGCCTGCCTTGCGCATGGTGACCCTGCCCTGGCCGAGGACGCCGGAGGCGGAAGGGGCGAGCTTCACGGCCTTGCCGGCGAAGGAGGGGGAGGAGAGGGCCATTGTTGCAGCCATGGAGGAGTTCTTGAGGTGGGGCCTGCCGAGTGAACTTGAGCTGCTGGTGGTGAGGGGATGGAGAGCGGAGAGACGTTTAAATAGCACGGGGGAGATTAGAAGAGATACGAACGCTTATCTCATGCATATCTTCGTCCATCTTCTCATTGGCTCAGTCCTGCACACAACTCAACCAGATGTGTGACAACTCCTCGGTCGTCAGGCTTCATTTGGTCTCTCTCTCTCTCTCTCTCAATATCCTACGTCTTCCGGTTGTTCCTCCGTTCACCAATCAAAGCATGCCATTTGTTATCTGGAGATGGATGATAGATCAGGTGGGATCGCCCGCAGACACTGTGTAAAGCATCTTTAGTTTAGGAGGCTGAGCAATTTTTTTTCTTTTTACAATCGAACTTTTAATATTTCTAAGAAACACATCTATGAATCGGATGTAAATATCTTAACTTATCACTTCAACTGTTTCTACTCTTTTTCACATCAATTTTTCTTTCCCTTCCATTCTCTTTTTAGAGTTTGGATGTCTGATTGATCGATAGATGAAATAAATTATCTAAAATAATAATAATTGACAATTGAGGTGTTGTATTTACTAAAATTATATTTTATGATCGCTAATAGTAAAAACAAAAAAAAAATGTCAATAGCAATCTCCTACTACTATTTTGGTTGATGTTATCATTGGCTTAACCTAACTTTCTCCTTAATCAAGTTTTGTATATGCTATTTGAGAATTAATACTTTTAATTATGTCACTTTGACTTGGTATTGATGGTATTTGTTTATGTATTGGTCACTTGGTATTGATGGATGATCTAAATTGAGTCTCAAGGATCCAATTTGGGATCAAGCATTATGTTTTCAAGTCAAGGTTAAAGATGTGGAGGTAATGACTTTGCTAGATACATTTTATTAATATCTCATATATAGTTAACAACATAAATATTATATTCTGACAAAAAACCACAAACTTTTGAAGGGCTTATGTGCATTTTGAAGAAAAGAATTGATATCAATGTATTGAGCTTTGGATAATAAAAAAGAGAACTTCTTCTTTTTCAGAAGCCTGACACAAATTTCAAGGTAAAAAAGGTTTGTGGATGTTATCAAAGGAAGCAATGCTCTAATTCATCATCTTTGTTTCTGCTATAATTTGGTACTCTGTGCTCTGTTCTTCTTCCATCTCCAGTGGAATGCTGTACATTCATGGGATGTCTTCAACCTCTTCTCATTCTCTAAAGTCTCAAGAAAAGATGTCATCTGAGTCTTGAGGATAGAGGTTTGGCACAACATATTATCAACTGTTACTTTTGCTGTCAATTCCATGTTTTAAGGGCTTTCCATGTATGTCTGCTGACACCACCATGCTATGCAACCTCTACCCCAGAAATATTATGAGGGTATAATTAAGTGAATAGTTGTATCTTTCAGCATTTAGCATAAACAGTAAAAAGAGATGGAACAGTCTTTTGTTGCTGAAACAGTAAGTATTTACAATTTGAAGTGAAGATGCAATTCCATGTAGTTGGTTCAGTAGACATATTGCTATGTTTCTATGTGACAGTCATTCTTCATCATTAATGCTTCTTCAACAAGCTTAATGACTATATGAAGTCTAACATCATTCACTGTTCTGATCAAATTCAGACTTATTTCTGATAAAGCCAGGAATATATTCACTAATCAGATGGAGACATCATAATAGAGCAAGGCACTACTCTACACCTATAAAGAAAAAGCAACTTCAGCCAAAATATAAAGAAATTATGATCATGCTTTTATCAGAGACAAAATAAATGCAAGATCAGCAAAGAGTCAGGAACAGTGGGAAAAATTAACCAAAAAATTATAGATAACGACGCGAGAGAACTTGAAATTGTACATGGATAATCTGTACAGGATGTCTAACTGGGTATTGAGTGCCTCTTCTTTTATCTCCTCACCTTTCATGCTGGAAGCAGAAATTGGGCACAGCTCCAGAACCCAAAATGACAAGCTTTCACTCTGACACCATCTATCTTCTTGCATCCATGCCTGTGGAATAACAGTTGGTGGAACTTTTTCGTCTTCGTTAGCAAAGAGACAATGCCGATGATTGATTTGCTGATGCACGCCATCTGATGACCATTACTTATGCATGGAATCTCTCACATGACCAGTTATCTGATCCAGCTACTTTATTTTCTAGATCACTTGAACCGTTACTCTCCTTCAAAGACTCGATCTCCATGCTTGCTGCACGATTCCGTCGGCTTTTCCGGTCCTTTTTGGGGAAGAAAATAAGTAAGCATCAGTATTTCATTCTGCCACGAAACATGAATAAAAAGAATAATAAAAAGATTTGTGGGTTAAAACTGACTTCATCCGCTTCTAGCATTCGAACAACCTGACCCATGTTGGGCCTTTTGTCAGAGTCAGGATCAAGACATTTCAGAGCAACTAACAGAGCACGCTTAAGAGCCCGTGTAGGTGGTTTAAGATCAAGATTTGGATCCACCACTTCCTCTGTTCTCCTATTTCCAACCATCAATTTGAGCCACTCCACAAGATTCACCTGTCAAATGGGACAGTTAAGCATAGCAGAACTAGGTAACACAAGTGTAAGAATACATAATTGCAGTCAGTTTGCCGGTTATGAAGCTGATCCATTGGCCTTATATTCCACTGGGGACACCTACGTATATACAAATACAAGTAGTTCCCTAGTTCAGAAGTTACCACACCAGTAGAAAGGACATGAACAATTCAGCTGTTATCCTTGCATCCAGAGTTTGAAAGACGTACCTCATTTGAAGGCCTGCCATGATCAACAGGATCCCTGCCAGTAACGGTTTCCAATAACAATACTCCAAAACTGTAAACATCACTCTTCTCATTCAGAAGTCCAGTATTAGCATATTCAGGAGCCACATACCTGCAGTAAACAGATATAAAACTTCTGCATGCTTAGAAATTGATTGTCTTTTAGATAAGTACTAAATACTAAGAGCCTCTTTAATTATAAGATGCAACTTAGCACAAACATCAAGGGAAAGCCAGCATACCCAAATGTTCCCATCACTCTAGTAGTAACATGGCTTTTGCCGGAACCAAGGAGCTTAGCCAGTCCAAAGTCGGATACCTTTCC